GCGATATCGTGAATTAATCTCTAAGGACTTTGAAACATTTTCGGTAATACGGTTACTCTTGATTCTAATATTGATTTTTACTATAAGGCATTTATAGAGATTCTCAAGAATGGTATTGCCAGAGCTTCAGGAAGAAAAACAATAACCATGGAAAATAAGGAGCCAAATAAAAACAAGAGATCTCATAGATGGTGCGAAATGCGATGAGGTGATCGGGAATAGGAAATCTGCTCTTTCTGCTTTTAGGAAACATAAATCCATTCACTCCTGGGTTGAATACAAAAGGTGCCGTGCGTTGGCTAAAAAGACTCTCAACGAGAAGAAGAAAGAAAATTTCAAGGAATTTTGCCGGGGAATAAACAGATTTACGGACCCTGGATATGTCTGGAGGACTATCCGTATATTTAAGAAGGCCAGGAATAACGTTACTTGGAATAAATGGCAGTCCACTGACAGAGAATCGGAAATTAGGAGAACGACGGACAGCTTGTCCCCCCTTACTGTCGGTCACAAACTTTATAATAACTTCATGAGAGCTAGCGGTGAGTTTGATACCCCTTTTTTGAGGGCGGAGCTGGATAGGGCTATAACTATGGCCAGGAGAGACTCTGCACCAGGGCTGGATGGCGTGGAATACAAGATGTTACGCCTCTTGCCGGATTCAGGTAGGGAGTGCCTTTTGCAGCTATTCAATTCTGTATGGCGAACGGGAGTCCTCCCGGAGGATTGGCAATTGTATCAGGTTATATTTATTGACAAACCAGGACGAGAGAAGGTGCGACCTATTTCATTGTCATCTTGTGTGGGCAAACTGATGGAGAGACTCATTAATGAACGACTAATGTGGTGGGCGGAGAACGAGGATAAATTTAGCAAATCACAGAGCGGATTTAGACGGGGTAAATCTTGTGCCGATAACCTTGCACGCATTACGGCGGATATACGTGCCTCTATTTGTTCTAACGAATATACCCTGGCAGCCTTTTTGGATGTATCTGCGGCGTATGACTGTGTGAATTACTGGATCATGATGGACAAGCTGGTGGCGCTTCAATGCCCTGTAAACATTGCTAGATTCATCAGTAAATGGCTATACTGTAGAAGGGTGAGATTTACTATAAATTCTCAAGAATACGTGGATCGCCTTGTTTACGGAGGGCTCCCGCAGGGCGCGGTTCTTAGCCCTATCATGTATTTTCTATTCACGCAGGGTTTGTGCGCGGAGTTGCCGGAGGGAGTGAAGGCAGTAGAATTTGCCGATGATATTGGTCTGTATGTATCTGGGATTAGTAGAAGAAAGAATCGTGAACTATTGGAGCGTGCCGTTAACGTGATCGCTGAAAGACTTATGTTGATTGGTTTGGCACTTGAACCGAAGAAGACAGTACTGGTGGAATTTTCCAGGAGCGGTTACGTGGACAGGAACCTGTTTATCAATATACAGGGAACCAAGGTGTATAATAGTGGTGAGGCTAAATTCCTAGGAATCTGGCTGGATAGTGGTTTGACTTTCCATCGGCAAACACAGGAGATAAGAGGAAAAGTAAATAGAGCCAATTCCATTATGAGATATCTTTGCCATATTTCTACTGGTATGGAGACTAACACTGCATTAATGCTCTACAAGAGCCTCGTTAGATCTGTTATAGATTACGGTATCTTTGTGTATTTCCCTAGAGACGCCTCGTATACACTCAAGTTAGAACGAGCTCAATTTATGGGTATACGCACTGCTCTGGGGTACAGGAATAGTACCCCGAATAATGTAATCGTGGCAGAAGCAAAGGTCAGCAGATCTCTTCGTGACCGAGCTTTTATGCTTGAAAGTAATTTTATCAACAAAGCAATGGTGTACAACCAAAACGGCCTATGTCAGAAACTGCAGCGTGCCTTTGATTGTGAGAGTTATGCACGATTTCTCCTCCCTACGTATAGATTCTCCCTCCTGTCGGAGGTTTGGAGGTCTTCATTGAAAAGAAGAGACTGGTTGGGCCCATCGCGGAGGTACGAGGTTTTCCAGGGGAATTATGACGCACATACCTTCGTTCCCTTGGTTGATTTTGACATCGGTTTGAAAAGAAAATACAAAAAATTTTCAGATGAAATTTTGATCCGGGAGGTTACTTCTCAATATAATTTGGAATCGCCAGAAGTTGTCTTTACTGATGGATCTCAAGACGAAAACAAGAGATCTACTGGTGCCTCCCTGATTATCTGTGATCAGGAGATTGCATATAAAATTAGTCTCCCGTTTATGTGTTCGTCATACACTGCGGAGGCCTTCGCGGTGATGGCTGCGTTGCGGCTGTTGCTTTGTCAGATCGAAAGGAGGGCAAAAGATATGATTGTTCTATCGGATTGTAAGTCGGTGCTGATGAGTATTCGGAGCAATATACTGGATGTTTATAGAAATCAATATGTTATAGAAGCTAGAAGAATATTGTTCGAGTTGTGTTATAAACACGAGAGGAGAGTCGTTCTTGTATGGATTCCCGCTCATAAGGGTATACTGGGTAACGAGTTGGCGGATGCATTGGCCAAGGAGGCTTCTACCGAGGAAGCGGACCCTACTATCGTCGTTCCGCTGAGCGATATGATGAGTAGTATAAGGAAAGTTACGTGGGAAACAACACAGAATTCGATTATGGCTGAGTCGGCGTACAAGGGTGCTTTTTACTTTTCGAATTTCTATGAACGACGGGCCACTAAACCATGGTTTTCGAAGTTGGACAAGGAAAGATATTTTATAACTTGGATTAATAGAGTGAGAGCAAATCACTTCAACTTAGGTTCTTCTCTGAAGAGAAAGGGATACGTCGATAATGAGAGATGTGACTACCTCTATGAAGTTGGCCGGACAACTTCAACGTATCGAACTTTCATTAATTGGAATCGATTGGTGGTCGTTTGGTGGTCTTTGGTAGTCTAGTCCGATCGTTTGGTGGTTAGTCGTTTTCCTGTAAAATAAAAATGAAATTTCCGGTGTGAAGTTAGCCGGACAATTTTTATTTTTCAACCAATTTAACTTTTTTATAGCTCATTCGACGCGGAATCATTTGGTGGTCACGAATATCACCAGTAAAACGTTTGGTGGTCAACCGTTTTCCCAGAAAATAGAAAAAACCGTATGCGCATAATGCCGTAGTCGGAACAATTGTATTTATCACCCAAATTGACTTTGACAGGGCTCAATCGACGCGGAATCGTT